AAGAACTGGGTATTCAATAACCTGTCATGTATTAATTTGGCTTCCTTCAAAATTTCTATTTTAAGCAAAAGGACTGCTTCTCCACAGCATTTTCGCCTCACATCAGTGCACAACGAGGCTGACATTTCTAGAGAGCCTTGTGCTTAGCATCTCTTTGTAAAACCCTTCAGGTGCTTGCAGGATGTGGGAATAAGCAGTGTCCCAACACTCAAGGTGCCCAGTTACAGGATGGTTATATTTTACCTTGTATATTGTTCATATTATACACAAAAATAAGGTAGGATTGAAACATATGTGTATTATGGCAAATGCACGGCCTTTCATTACAGCATTACAGATTTACTTCTTTTTTTTTTTTTAATTTATCTTTATTGTTGAAAGTATTACAGGTATCCCATTTTTCTCCCCCAATTTACCCCCTCTCCAGGCCTTCACCCCGTCATTGTCTGTGTCCATGGGTTATGCATATATGTGTATAACTTCTTTGGTTAATCTCTTCCCTCCTCCACCCCCTTTCCCTCTTCCCTCTGAAATATGATCGTCTGTTGCCTGCTCAATGTCTCTGGATCTATTTAGTTCATCAGATTCTTTTGTTCTTCTTAGAGAAGACCCTTCAACATTTCAGTAGTGCTAGTTTGGTGGTGATGAACTCCTTTAGGTTTTCCTTGTCTGAGAAGCTCTTTATCTGACCTTCAGTTCTAAATGATAGCTTTGCTGGGTAGAGCAATCTTGGTTGTAGTTCCATGTTTTTCATCACTTTGAATATTTCTTGCTACTCCCTTCTGGCCTGCAAAGTTTCTGTTGAGAAATCAGCTGACAGTCACATGGGTGCTCCTTTGTAGGTAACTAATTGCTTTTCTCTTGCTGCTTTTAAGATTCTCTTTATCTTTAACCTTTGGCATTTTAATTATGATGTGTCTTGGTGTGGGTCTCTTTGGGTTTCTCTTGTTTGGGACCCTCTGTGCTTCCTGGACTTGTAAGTCTATTTCTTTTCCCAGGTAGGGGAAGTTTTCTGTAATTATTTTTTCAAATAGGTTTTCAAGTTCTTGCTCTCTTTTCTCTCCTTCTGGCACCCCAGTAATACAAATGTTGGGCCTCTTAAAATTGTCCCAGAGGCTCCTTATGCTATCTTCATATTTCTGGATTCTTTTTGCTCTTCTGGTTGGGTGTTTTTTATCTCTTCATGTTCCAAATTGCTGATTTGATTCTCAGTGTCCTCTACTCTACTGTTGATTCTCTATAAATTATTCTTTATTTCAGTTCATGTAGCATCGATTTTCTCAATTATTTTTGTCATACTCTTACTAATATGGATGAGCATCCTTATAACCATTATTCTGAACTCTGTATCTGTTAGCTTGCTTGGATCTATTTCATTTAGTTCCTCTTCTAGAGATTTCTTCTGTTCTTTCCTTTGTAACATGTTTCTTTGCCTCCGCATTTTGGCTGCTTTCTGGTGTTTGTTTCTATGTATTAGGTAGAGCTGCTATGTCTCCTGGAATTGGTAGAGTGGCTTTGTGTAGTAGGTGTCCTGTAGGGTCCAGTGGCTCAGCCTCCCCAGTCACCTGAGCTGGACCTTCTAGGTGCTTCCCTGTGTGGGCTGTGTGCACTGTCCTGTTGTAGCTGAGCCTTGGTTGCTGTTGGTGTCACTGGGAGGAATTGACTTCCCGGCCAATCAGCTGTGAAGACCAGCTGCAACTACAGCCAGAGAGCTGCTGTGCTGGAGACACCCCTATGGAGCAGGACTTACTTCAGTGGAGCTTTGGTGTTCACCAAGTGTACCCCTTGAGTGTGTCACTCATGGATGTGGTAGGGTTGTAATCTGGTGTAGTCTGAAGCTGACCACTGGGTGCACTGTCTCTGGGACCTCCCGGGAAGTGCAAAGTCAGCCTCTTCCTGTTCCCTGCCCAGGGCCACCCAGCATGAGCAATCTAGTGATAGCTGCTAATTGTGCTGGGGTTGGAGCTCTCCAGGAGTGGTCAAGTTATGAACCAGTCAGACTGTCGCTAATGCCAAGCCTGGTGCTACTTATCAGGAAGCATGGGGCATGCTGAGGCCAGCTGCTGCTTATTGGAGAGATTTTAGGAAAGTCCTAAGCATGAGGCTAGA